GGGGGGGGGGGGGGTTCTTCAGTGTGTTTATGTAATTGCCAAAATGAAGTGTGTTCATGCTAAATTACCTTGAATAAGCAAATTCGTGGAATTTATATCCCCCGCTTGCAGGACATATTGTAGGTTAACATTATTGAGGTTAAGTTTAAACATGTGAATGTCGTGCTGTTGAGACATAATGTATAGCTTGAACCGTGAAGAACAAAAAAAAACCACCTATATCGCATTGATTATCCGTAAATATGCACAAATCACATCTGTTGGCAAACTTAGCATGAGTCGAATGTGCATACAGAATTTGGTTGAAACACCTGAACAATATCTACAGCAATTATTGTCACACGAAAACCAAAGAGTGTCCAAGATGGGTGGAAAGACATTGTTATCTAGTTTGAAGTAATTTGGCTAATATTTGCTATAGCTATTAAGCGGAAACTGCAGATAATGACGTTTTTCATTAATCAAGGGGCCATAACTCCGACAAATAAAGTCTGATTAAAGCGGCTGTCAAACTTGGCTGGGCTCTTAATGCGTTGAACCCTGTAGCTAAGTTTGAAGACAATTGGGTAATATTTGCAAGAGTTAATGAACAGAAACGGCAGATAATGACGTTTATCGTTATTCAAGGGGCCATATCTCCGACGAATAAAGTCCGCTGAAAGTGGTCATTCAACTTGGTCGAGCCCTTATAAGGCATTTAACCGTGTGGCCAAGTTTGAAGAAAATCGGTTAACATTTGTTGTAGTTATTGCACGGAAACGAATCAAGCAGATAATGACGTTTTTCGTTCTTCAAGGGGCCATAACTCCGCCAAATGGGGTCCGCTGTAAAAGGTCATCGAAATTCGCCGAACCCTTAAGGCATTTAACCTTGTGACCAAGTTTGAAAACAATCGGTTAACATTTGTTGTAGTTATCGCACGGAATGGAAGCGTGACAGACAGACAGACAGAAAGACAGACAGACAGACATACAGACAAACCCAAATTAATATTCCCCGTTTCGATGAAAGCGGGGGACAATAATAATTATAGATAAAGGATACACGTGCTATACCTGAGGACGCACCAATGACGGTCTCTGAGGACACACCGTGCTTATATAACAATACGTCATAAGGATAGTTGTGCAGTTCCTGATGACGGACCAGGGGCTGTATCTGAGGACACACCGGGCTCGTGACCGAAGGGTTGCGGGTTCGAGTCACTGCACGGCACTGTACATGTGTTGTATCTCTGAGCAAGATACTTTACTCTGCTTGTTCCAGTCTGCTTAGCTGTAAATGAGTATGGCAGTGCTAGAATTTTTGAATGCTAGCTGAGAGCGCCTAAATGGCAACACCGGCTGTATGCTCCCCAGGGAGTTGAGAAAGATATCGGCTGGTTGTAAAGGCCCTATAGCCACGGATAATAATTTATGAACCACTTTGAGACGACCTACGACATAGGTTGTGATAAAGTGGTATATAAGAACCTCGAATTATTATTATTATTTAACTATACGTCACAAGGATACACGTGTTGTAACAGAGGACGGACCAGGGACTATCTGAGGACACACCATACTGATATAACTATACGTCACAAGGATACACGTGTTGAACCTGATGACAAATCGTGGGCCGTATCTTACGACACACCATACTGATATAACGATACACGTGCTCCTGAGGACAAACCTGGGGCCGTATCTTACGACAAACCATACTGACATAACAATAAGTCATAAGGATACACGTGCTCCTGAGGACAAACCTTGGGCCGTATCTCACGACACACCATACTGACATAAAACATCACAACGATACACATATATTACATGAGGACGGACATTAGACAGACATATACATAAAACGTCACAACGATACACATATATTATATGAGGACGGACATTAGACAGACATATACATAAAACGTCACAACGATACACATATACTACATGAGGACCGACATTAGACAGACATATACATAAAACGTCACAACGGTACATATATATTACATGAGGACGGACATTAGACAGACATATACATAAAACGTCACAACGATACACATATATTATATGAGGACGGACATTAGCCAGACATATACATAAAACGTCACAACGATACACATATATTACATGAGGAAATAAACACTGACATTACAGAAGGCTTCACAAAAAACACGTCCTTTACTGAGAACGATCCTTTGAGCCGATTTAAACGAACTGCTGCATGCTACATGCTTGAATAAATCAATACTATTTGTACAAGAGTTTGCCAACGGTAGCTTCGATCAATTGCCGCTTTTGAAAAAACATAATTAATTTGCATTATGAACTTTTACATAGTCTGGTTACATGTTGACATGCTCCCCGACTTTAAATTGACGGCATTGGCAGATTGTACATAAGTATTACTTTATTGTATTAGAAGCTTGTTGAAGCATCAAATCAATATCGTCTCGCTATTGATAAGATAAATACAGATCCTTTGAGGGACGTTGGGCTCTTTTGTCCGACATTGTTTACAGCAGTATGAATAGGACAGGGTGAATGACTATGGAACACAGTACACACACCAGATGTATAGAAATTACTTTTTATGGGCTGGTGGATTGCGGGTTCCTTATATTGTGCCGTTAAAGTCGCGTTTGTAACGTCATAACGCAATCAAAAGAAACCATAAATTGACGTCATGGGAACAATTAAATATGATGTCACAATGAACTTTATATTGGAGAGAACATGCGTAAACCTTGAAAGAAACAAAGCTACATTTGTATAGATGTAAAAATGCATATGCCTTTTAAACATACTATTGAAAGAATGGTATAAAATAATCATCCCCTACGGTAAGGGTATACCATAGAAAGTCGAACCCTTTGTTTGAAGAAACCTTCGTGTTAGGCGATCAAGAATATCACCCATCGGGTAAAGACTTTTTCTGCCATCTCTTCAATGGAGGGAAAGATTCTGATTTTCTCTTGTTTTTTTCTCCTCCGAGAATGGAATGTCTAAGTGTCAATTTGGAAAACAAATGAAAAAGCTATCTTTATCTCGTTTTTATCCGTTAGTTGACTCATTAAAACGCGTTAGCTATCTTGTTTTTATCCGTTAGTTGACTCATTAAAACGCATTAGCTATCTCGTCTGTATCCGTTAGTTGACTCATTAAAACGCGTTAGCTATCTCGTTTGTATCCGTTAGTTGACTCATTAAAACGCGTTAGCTATCTCGTTTTTATCCGTTGGCGTTCTCTAGTACATTTAAATTGAACTGATCATTGACGATATATTGTAGCACTTATGTAAATCTGACCATTTTTGTTCTTAGTTATATTATGATTACACTGGCGAGTTCACGAATAGGAATATTTGATGCTAAAGGTACCCAGCATGTGTGTAACCAGTGTTGTCAAGAGAAATACGGAATGTATTCCGTTTGGAAATATAATCAAGACATTGACATTGATCTGAGGGTTCAATAAAATTCTGTTTTGACCATATCAATGGTTTAATCAAGGATACAGACCCGTGTGCCACACACATACCCGTGATAACCAAACGTTTACTGTTATCAAACAATGACACGAGAAAACTCACGATGAATGTTATGTAACACCTGAACCATTGCATTATTATTGATTGACGAATACAGCTCTGTGTTATTCACGTCGGGACGTGGTTCTGGTTTTGACAGGCGGAGAGAAAGTGATTATTGCGGAAATATAATTAGAAATGATAATAAAATTTCCATATCCGGTCTTGGTTGACTTAGCTCTTTCACGTCGCTCCATGCTGTAGCATGTCTGGATATGATTGCTGTCAATCACGTTGCTGTACAGACATGCGCACTCATCAGTCAGAATCTTCAGTGAATTTATCTTGTCTAGTAATGTACGCACAACATTAGTGTATGGGATTTATGAGGATGAATGTCTAAATACGCTGTGATTGTTAAAGACAAATTAATAAGCTGGAATTTTGCCTATTCCGACAATATTTATTGACCCCGGTCTCGCACGTGGACGAGCATCCTACGTTGCTTTACGTCCATAGATCTCTCAGAACTGATAGGCTTCCAGAAATAGACGACTTTGTGGTGATGAGACATCGTTATTTGGCGTCATTATACATATGAGCATGAGTTGGCAAAATAGCGCCACATATAGTGTTAATGAAATGGACAGGATTTCTTACGTGATAATTCGAATGTTTCGACGGATATCAAAGTACCCTGTAGCGTAAAACCAATTATGAATACGTACACTATATGTAAGATAGCGCTTCATTTGATAGGCTATTAGCAGTTACAAATGTACAGCTATATATATATATATTGAGAGAGTCGTGTTTATATGTCTATTTGGAACATTGGATATCAAGTCAACAGGAAACATTGGACTACAGTTACACAAAAAGCTGTGTGTTTAACGGGAATTTTATATATGAGCAGTGAGATCGTGTTCTGTGCTACATACTCTTGTGAGACGAGAAAGCAGTGACTATTTTTACGTTCAACAAGTTCCCGTGTTACAAAAAAGGTTTGAGAAATCGTATATTGAATAGTCTTTAGTGTCATTCGGAAAGTGTGAAAAGTACAGAAAAGTAATGCAAGCTCTGTGTGACTAGGAAAGTGTGACAAACCATACATTGCAAGCATCTGTGTGACCAAGACATTTTCACCGTTGAATCGTGCCGTGTGTGACATGGACGAGTCAGGAGATATCCCTAATCTTACAGTAGGGGAGATATACTCCCAGTTCTATTTTATATTCGTATGTT